GAATCCCAACAGTGTACCAGGGTCGAGTGTGGTAGAGAAAAGCAAAGCAGTGCAAATTAATGTGCAGAAGTCAAAATGCAGAAAGATATTAATAATATGCAGAAAAACATTTAAACAGTAAACACTAAATCATACGGTAAGTCTTACGATGTCACAAGAACTCAAGATAAGAGATCAATTTTTACTTTTTACAGTATTATTTTTAAATGTAAGAATAACCATTATAGGAATAAAACTATCTCTAATCTCAAAGGGAGAGAACTTCAAAATCATGGTTTTAGAGTGGGCATAAGAATGGATATGACTAGGTGTAATTAATCTCCATAGATACAAAGAAAGATCTAAAGGAAATAAGACAATGCAGGGTCTGACACAAATAACACCCCTTTTCATTTCAGAATGTTTTATTATGAAATCATACACATGTCATTCTGTGACAGGACACTACACACTAAAGCACACCCTATGACGTTTTAGGTGAAATGCTCAGGTTAAAACAACAAATTATCACACCCGTATTGTGACCCTACCATCCACACGCAAGCAGGCCTTACTTCTGCCGGACCCTGTATATTAATATTTGTTAACTCAATAGACGTATCTATTTATTTTCTGAGTTTTTGAAATATCTTACAATTAAATTTTAAAAAGAGCTTCTAATGCTTTTAATTGACCCCGTAGGCCACAATCTCTGAACCTTCACTAAAGAAGCTAAACTGGAGCCCTGGCTGATGTAGCTCAGTGGATTGAGTGCGGGCTGCGAACCAAAGCATCGCAGGTTCAATTCCCAGTCAGGGCACATGCCTGGGTTGCAGGCCACGGCCCCCAGCAACCGCACATTGATGTTTCTCTCTCTCTCTTTCTCCCTCCCTTTCCTCTCTAAAAGTGAATAAATAAAATCTTTAAAAAAAATAAGAGGAAGAAGAAATAATACTTGGCTGGCATAGCTCAGCAGATTGAATGTGGGCTGTGAACCAAAGCATCGCAGGTTCAATTCCCAGTCAGGGCACATGCCTGGGTTGCAGGCCACGGCCCCCAGCAACCGCACATTGATGTTTCTCTCTCTCTCTCTCTCTCTCTCTCTCTCTCCCTCCCTTCCCTCTCTAAAAATAAATTTAAGAATAAAATAAAATAAAAAATATATAAAAAAAAAAAAGAAGCAGCTGAACTGGCCCCACCTCCCACCAAACAGAAGGAGCTGTGCTGCTTTCCCTGTCTATAAGGGAGGTGTCCCCACGTGCACCTGGACTTGGAACACGTAGGACTGTGTTGAGAACTGTCCTGCTCTGAGGAACTGTCCCGCCTGTCTCGCCAGGTCACAGTGACTCCAGGTTCCAGTTTGAGGTTATCACTAACATTCTCCCAGAACAGTCATCTTAACTAGCCGTTCAAAGTCCTTCCCACGCCCCGTCAGTCTGTCATTCTCATGGTGTCACGGGCGGGTCTCCCTAAACTGCCGCCCAGTGTGTGTCTGTGTGGTCAGGGTCGAGCTTTGTCGCTGTCCTAAAGGTACACGGTCACGCCAACCGCCTGGCCACAGCTGTGCTTGTTCATTTTGGGGCTGTCAGAGTCCTCTAATAGCCATCTACTCTCAAAAAAAAAATGAGGGCCAGAAAAATCAGGATAGATGACAATACTTTAAAGCTGCTAAGAGACTAAATCGTAATCGTTCCCACTACAAAAAAAAAAAGATAATTACATGACATTAACAGAGGTGTTAGCAACACTATGGTGGTAATCGTATCATAATATATTAATGTATCAAATCAACACCTTAAACCTACACAATGTTATATGTCATTTTTATCTCAACATAAATAAATAGATGTGCTTTTATAAAATGCATGCTCTGCAGTAATGATTTTATTAAGAAATGCAAGTTTACCTGGCTGGCGTAGCTCAGTGGATTGAGTGCGGGCTGCAAACCAAAGCATCGCAGGTTGGATTCCCAGTCAGGGTACATGCCTGCGTTGCAGGCCATGGCCCCCAGCAACCGCACATTGATGTTTCTCTCTCTCTCTCTTTCCCCCTCCCTTCCCTCTCTAAAAATAAATAGATAAAATCTTAAAAAAAAAGAAATGGAAGTTTAAAGGGATGGACTAGATACATCCTCATAATACCTCCATTGACCTTCAAAAGCTTCAGCAATGGTCCCTCAGAAGACAGCCTGCATTTCGCCCTTTCCCTCCAGCAAGTCCACTGTCGGAGGGACAGCAGGCGGGTGGGCGGGCCTCTCAGGGCCTCGGCCGGAGAGCACTGGGGTGCCTCTTCTCTTCCCCCGCCGGGTACCTGTACGTGTGCCCCGAGACCACCTGTGCTGACTGAGCACGATGTGACACTTGTTAGGAAACAACAAAGTTCCCCCAAACGGTCTTTCTCCATTCCCCTAAACTTGGCAGGTGCTCTGTTCCCTGCCATCGACCCCCATCTAAGCCAGAAACAAAGCCTGGTTATTGGTAATCTTACACGGAAGACGAAATATGTGCAGACTTGATCTACATAGAACTGTGCATACATACTGGGTGTGTAAGGTTTTACACTTTATCTTGTGCCTGGGTATATACCTAATTCAATTCTCTAATTTAATGAGTAACTTGCTTATCATTAGTGCCTAAGGATTACACATTACCCCTGACATATACCCAAATAAGTTGTCAGGCTACTGTGTTATAAAGCATGATGCTAGTATGTTGTTACACAGGCCACTGCGGTTGCCTGTCCTTCTCTGGTACCCGCTGCCTGTTTCATCTGGGCATTCACACCGCCTCATGGAGTCTCTCTGTACTTAGAGCAGTACTCCTTTCCCAGTCGTGAGTTAGTCCCCTCTGCAGGGACACTTGGCAGGGTCTGGCTGGAGACATCTTCTGTTGTCACAACTGGGATGGAGTTGCTTCTGGCAACCCAGGAGGAGAGCCGAGATGCTGCTAAGCATCCTCCAAGGCACAGGATGGCCCTTCACATCAAAGAGTTACCTGGGGCAAAAGGCCACTCTCACTGAGGGCGAGAAACTCCGCCACAGAGAGAAATTAATGCCATGGCTCTTTCTACCCACGAGGCACACGGTTCGAGCCTAGCTTGAACATCACAGTCCCATCTCCTTGCAAGAGGTACGGGTTTGGGGGGAACACAGGACCGTAAACGACTGATGAGCCAAAGGAAGGTATTTCCGGAGGGTTTCTGGGCGAGAGAAGCTTCCTCACTCTTTTGAGAGAGGTATGGAAAGGGACTCTTGATGGCCCACATTCCAGCCAAGATGGAACATCGGGGACCGGCTTCACCCTGTGCGTGTGTCAGCGGTTTGAAAACACTGTGCATCGCTTGTGCGGGACAGCGTCCCCTGGGAAGGGGGGAGGAGCTGTGGAATGTCGGGTGACCTATGTATGGGTCTTGTTGGATTTACTGGGATGGGGGTAGAGAAAATTTTTTAAGAAATATGGCTGAAATGTCTTCAAATTTGATTTAAAAACAAAAAGAAACTCAATATCCAAGAATATCAATGATGAAAAAATAGGAGAGGGAGAACTCACCATGAGAGTAAAAATGATTTCAGTGAACAGTGGAAATCTGTCTTTTCTCCTAAAAGAGATCTGTATAAAGTTTGGAAGGACCTGTTCTAAACGAATTGCATTTCTCCTCTAAGTCACCGCAGGGAGGGGAATTGTTTGATTTCTCTTCCAGCAACCCTCCAAACTAGCTTGGACGTGTGAGTAGATCTCGCTGTTCCACTAGTGTTTTGTTATTTGTCTCGGCCACGTGTTCAGGCCAGGCCAAGCTCAAAGGGCAGCCGGGAACCCTGCGCTGTTTGTGGAGTCACCTGTTTCGCCACAGCCACGGGGCCGGGCTCCCGCAGTGTGTATGTGCAGGGGCGTGCCTCCACTGCCATCTACATTCAGATCTACTCAAGGCCAAGACAGTCTACTTTTCTTTCACTTGTTGTTCCAAGCTTCATGTACCCCTCACGTCCAGAATCTCCCCCCCCCCCAGCACATGTCCCCCACCCCTCCCTTGCCGGAGCACAAGGAGCTTCCGAGAATTTAATGATAAAAGAGGGAGAACGGGAAATCCTCACCAGCCACTGGCACAAGCCCTGGGCCTGCTCCACGTGCTCAGCATCACTTGTCCCCTGATCTGGGTTATAGTTTCACGGTTTCAGCTCTTCCATTTCGGGCCCAAATCCACCCTCTGATGCCCAGCCATCTTTTTCTTTTTTCCTTTTTCTGCAAAAGCTTGAAACTACGCCCAGGTACGTGCATCATCTAAAGAAGTCCCCCCCTCCAACACACACCGCCCTGGACCCTGAGGCCCCCCCGCACGGAGCCTGGAATTCTCCGCCCTCCGGGGAGAGGTCCGCTTGGGGGGGGGGGGCGGGGGGGCCTGCCGCCCTCTCCCGCCCACAGGCTCCGGCTCCGCCCCACAGGCCTCCCCGGCCTGCCTCGAGGGGAGCAGGGACTGGGCCGCGCCATTCCCTGCCTGCTGCAGGGCCCGATCTCTGCGCAACCCGGCTTCCTTTCTGCGGAACTCCCCAAGCTTCAGCCAGGGAGGGTCTGATGCTTCATCAAGCACATAAGGTCCCGTCCCCCTGTCCCAGGAGAGCAGTGCCGACCAGGGTCATCTTTAATAATTAACAGGAGGTCACTGAAGTGATCTCACCCAGAACGGTGAAACAAATGTCTACGCTAAGATGATTATCTCTTTCTATAAATATGAAATTTGCTTACATAATATTTTAAAATTCTGCCCCGAGTGGTGTGGCTCAGTTGGTTGGGTGTCCTCCTGCAAAGCAAAGGGTCACTGGTTCGGTCCCCAGTCTGGGCATATTCAAGAAGCAACTGATCAATGTTTCTCTCTCTCACATCGGATGTTCTTTACCTCTCTTTCTCCCTCCCTTTCCCTCTCTCTAAAAATAAATAAACAAAATCTTTCAAAATATATACCTTTTTAAAAAAGTTCTGCTTCAGCCACTCACCCTATTTTTTGGACTCCCCATCACACTAAGAAAGCTGAAGGAATTCCAAACAACATGTATCTATAGATGGGAAAAATCGCACTGCTTCTGTTGGTTTGATATATAGGCATCATCGTTAGACATCAAGACCTTCTAACAGATCTCAATTCCAAGGAATCCCAAGCCACCTCTAAGGCGTCCTGGCTCCTCTCGCACCTTTTTTAACAGACAAGGGTCAGCGCTCCCATCCTCCCCACCCTACTTGGGTGCGCGAGGATTCCCTCTTCCCGCCCCCACCGCAGCCCAGGGCCTCTCAGCTGAGAGGTTGTCCCCACTTGTCTGCAAAGGGTGAGTCCAGACGGGCAGAGTCTGCGCCTCGTTCCTCGTCCTGGTTTCAAAGTCCAGGGTGTACTGCTTACGAGAGAAAAACTGTGTCGAGATTTAGTAAATATTTACAATCGATGGTGCCAGGGACAGCAAGGTCTCTCTCCGCCTGCCCCCTGGCCTTCACCCTTCCCCTGTCAGCACTCAGCCCGGCCAGCCCTGCTGCCCTGCCCAGGTTGCTCAAGTTCAAAGTTCTACTGGGGTGGGGGTGGGGGTGGGGGTGGGGGTGGGGGGGTCAAGTCTTGTCTGCAGCCTCAGGTCAAGCCAGAACGGGTTTTGTTCCGCAAGTGCAGACTTTTGGGAGCTAATCCAAACCTTCTGTAGGTATTCCCTCGCCTTGTACTCCTGTTCAGTGTGCCCGTTGCTCCTCCCCGCATCTGGAGGAATCCCTTTTTCTTATCACTCACTGTAGGTCTGCAGCCCCAAGCGCCGCCCCTCTGGGTGGCGCAACCGCCTGCAAGCGCTGATGGAGGGGCCCTTACCGTTAGATCTTCAGTGCTCACTGGATGGTCTCCGGACCAGCCGCTGCCACTGACTTTCTGAGCATCTTCGGAAATGGTCAGAAAGACCTGGCTGGCGTAGCTCAGTGGATTGAGCGCGGGCTGAGAACCAAAGTGTTGCAGGTTTGATTCCCAGTCAGGGTACATGCCTGGGTTGCAGGCCATAACCCTTAGCAACCGCACATTGATGTTTCTCTCTATCTCCCTCCCTTCCCTCTCTAAAAATAAAAAAAAAAAGAAAAAAGAAATGGCCAGAAAGTAGAGGGTTCTGGTGACAAATTCTCTTTCTCCACAGCCCCAGTTAGCTGCTTGTATACAGGGCCTCTCTCACCCCGGGGTCACTGATCAGAGGGCCTTGGGGAACCCCGAAGGGGTTACCAGCGCGGGGCGCAGGGCCGAAATCTACTGTTCGCTTGCATAGTTCGCAGTGCTTTAAATGGATTGTTATCCGTAGGGATCCTCCAGATGCCAAAGGATTATCGTCTCCTTTTTACAGCCCAGAGGCCCAGAAGGTTAAATAACTTCCCCAGGCTCACACTGACAGTGGGCGAGCGGGCACCCAGGCCCAGCACGGCACGCGGCAGTGCGTGTGGCCGCCGGACGGCGGAGAAACGGGAACGGGAGAGAGTGCAGGGTGCTCTGCTCCAGTGGCCGGGCAGTTTCGGGACCAGGACTGCCAGCAGGAAGCCGGTAGTGCTCGGGGTCTCCTCCCCTCCCCCCTGCACCCCCGGTCGGCGCCCCCCTCCCTCTCCGGCGGGCCCAGCTGTTTCGGGTTAACTCACTTCCACGGGGAAGAGAGAAGGAAGCCGTGTTTTGGCCTTTGCGCCAAACAATCCAGTTTTTCCATTAATAAAACCGGTACCTTACACCTTCAGTTTTAAAAAGTGTGAGACGTACACGCTGACACGGGAAGGAGAATCAGCAAGCCTTCGACTGTCCACATGCGCACTGATCACTCGCGCAGCACCCCCAGAAGACAAACTGCGGGGCGTCCCTGGGCCGTCTCCTGGGCAACAGGGAGACGGCGCCCCCTTCGGTCCTGTCCCCACCGACAAGGGAGGGGGGGCTGCAGGTCCCCCGCGCCGGAAGTGGTCACTCCGGGGCACGCTTCCTTCTCTGCTGAGCAATGCGTGTATCGATGTATTGCCAACGCCCGGGGCCCCTTCCCCCTCGGCCTCGGCCCGCGCTTTCCTGCAAAACGACGAAAAGGCACAGCCCTAGGTGGACGGAAGCGCGGCAGCTTCCGAAAGCAAAGTCGGCCTGGGACGGCCTGGGCTCGCAGCAGGCCCCTCTGAGGTTTTGTCTCGCTTGCTTTTCAGAAAGGGGTTTGTAAGTCCGTCGCCCGCTTTCCAGGGGCTCGGGAGGGGGCGGGGTGGGGGCTGCGCGGGCCTGTGCTGGCGGCGGGTCTCCGTGCACCCCCGGGAACTGCCGCCAGCGAGGGCCCGTTCCCCCTTCCCTCCCGCCTCCACGAAAGGACTGAGTGTCAAATTCTTGGGGAAAAATCAAGCCGGAATTATGGACGCCTGCGACCTTTATCAGATGTTCCGGGCACATTATGTTCTGGTATTTTGAAAAACTGACAAGTCGTTTGTGAGCAAAAATAATTCTTCCTACACTTTTATTTGATTAGGAACTTATTTCAATTTGTTCCTGACAATCCAAGAGGCATTTCAATTTGAGACTGAACTACATGGAGGATGGAATGTCCACTCTCCATGGGCAGGCGCTCTCACGGGGGTCAGAGACCCGTTGACGGCCCCCACTCACGGCAGCGGGGGTGGGGCGAGGGCTCCAGGCAGCTCAGGGGGCTGGGTGGGGGACAGCAACATCGCCTACACGGGGTGTTTGCAAAGTCGACAGTCATTATGTTCTCAGTTTGTAGTGTGTGCGGGCATGTGAAGAAATTTCTTGATGTAGTTCTCAAAGGCCTTCCAAAGCCCACTGGGAGACTGGGGTTGGGGTAATGGAGCAGAACTCTAGACTCTGCTCTAATATCCCTTTTTTTTTACTTTACGTATGGATTTCCAGGTATGATTATAACTGAACAACTGAACAAAGGGTTACCTAATTTTTAATGTTTTTTTTAATGGTAAGGATACTTTCTTTGTTTTTTAGAGAGAGAGGGAAGAGAGAGAGAAAGAGGGGGGGGTGCAAACATCAGTGTGTGGTTGCCTCTCACGAGGCCCCTACTGAGGACCTGGCCCACAACCCAGGCATGTGCCCTGACCGGAAATTGAACTGGTGACCCTTTGGTTCACAGCCCTCACTCAATCCACTGAGCTACACCAGCCAGGGCTCATTTTTAATGTTTTTTCTAAAGAAGATCAGAAACCACGGATGCTTCCATGGAATGTCCCTGTCTGACGTCGAGGTCCTCGTCTACCTTGTTCCCAGAGGACGCCCGCAGCCCGGAGGAGGGCGGACACAGAGCAGGCCTTGGGTAAACACCTTCGGGGAAGAAAATGAAATCCGTTCATGCCCTTTCTCCCTACCCCCGCTACAAGGTTCCCAGAAAGGAAATATTCTAAGTCCCAGCAAAAAGTGACTTAGGATACTTGAGTATTCCACGCACTGAATGATTAACAAATCTAAAGTTAGTAACTGGATGTAAAAGTAAAATAACCTCTCCTCCAACAGGAGAGCGCCCTCGTGGACAAATGTATGGGAACAGTAGTTACTCTGTTCAACCCTTTCCCTGGGCCGGTGACACAGGGCCCCTCGTCACGGTGCTGAGACCTCTTTTTCCAGATCCTGGTGGTCCGATGGATTTCCTCTTTTCTGCCACACTCTCTCCTGCCCCTAGATCTCCAGACACCTCAGATCCAGGATCTCCCCTCGGGACACGCACGCCCTGCCCTGGCGGAAAGTGCTGAGCCGACACCCCACCCCCCCACCAGCCCCCACCCCAAGCCCTGGACTCCAACCAGCTGGTAGAGTCGCCCTCCTCCTCCTGCGCTTCCTCTTTCTCAGGACACAGAGGACACAGGGAAAGGAAGCAGACCCTGGGGACAAGCTGAAAACAGGAAGTGGGTGGGCACAGGTCCGGGCCTGCAGCGACAAGAAGCCAGGAGTCGGACCAGGATAAACAACCTTGATGAGCAAGCCCTCGAACCATTACCTCCAGGGTATAACCCAGAAGATAACTGAGTGGTCTGGGGAGTGGATTTGTCACCCCCACCCCCGGGGAGTTCAGGGGCTCCTCTTCTCCCTTTCCTCCTCCTCCTCCTCCTCCCCCTGCACCACCCAACACTTGCTCCCCAAGCTGACGGATGGATGCCCACCTGACAGGTAGCTTCAGAGGAATCAGAAAACCGTTCCAGCCAGAAAACCCACCAGCTAGAGGTTCCTTGGGGTTAACTGTCTTCCTTTACGGGGCCTGCCACTGCATTGGAGGAGCCCAGGCAAGAGCCTGCTTTGGATCTGCTGGGCAAGGCAAGGAGGAAAATTGGGCCTTGGTGCCTTGCTCAAGGAGGAACAAGAAAGGAAAACTGCTTGTCAAACTAGCAACCGCATGTGCTAAGATTCCACGTGGAGACGGGGCAGGAGGAAGCAGGAAAAGTCCATAGTTTGAGGCCTTTGATCTCTCACACAACCGAGGCAACCAAAACGAGACACAGCAAACCCAGCGGCCTGGTTGTGACTTAGCCCATCCTGTCGCTGCCTTCCTAACGGCTGGTCGATATCGACCAGGGTGGGGCATATGCGAGAGGGGGCAGGGAATCATTGTGAAATACAGGTCAGTAAACACACTGGTTCTCCCCGTTCAGCTGGGACGATCATGACCTCAGACGTTCCACGAGAGGCCCCACTGCACACCGAGGTCACTCCTCTGATCAGAAGTGTGTGTCTTAACTTTTAGCTAAGAACGCGGGGTCATGGCAAATAGCCTTGGGAAGTTAATCTGTTTCTCTTTCGGTCAGCATACCTGGTTTGCACATTATCTCTGCCTTTCACTTGCCGTTTCTCACGAGCAATGGGGTGATGGTGGCTGACCAAAGGGTAGGGAGGAATACATCAAGTTAGATAACCTACCTAAGGCTGCTGTTCAAAGGCGGGGGACTTGCTGAGACCTCCAACAAACGGTAGCTTACACTGTCACTTGGGACACGAGATTTAGGAAGACACGGTCCTGGGGGAGTTGTATAGATGGAGGCAGGAAGGCTCAGGTAATGGTCAGCTGCCCAGCACGGCCCCAGAGGAGTCCAGGTGCAAGGTCAGAAGTGCAGGGAAGGGAGGGAGAGACGGCCTTGTTAGCACAGGGACAGGAGACTCCAAATAGAAGGATCTGGCTCCTAACGCCCAGTGGGAGAACGCATTCAGGTGGAGTCCAGAGCCCAATCCTTTCCTTTCTTCCCCACCCACACCCGGACATTGGAAACCCCCATGTGAAGGGTACAGCAGTCTGGGGGAGCCTCGGGTCAGGGCCAGTTGCATTACCGAGGGGGAGGAGGACGAGGGGAGGGAGTGAGTACACTGGAGGGACAGGGCTGCAGCGTGAGCCCAGAGCAGGGCCCCCGGCGCAGGGAAGAGGAGGGAGCCGTCAGTCCACCAGCTACAACCAGAAGGACCCTAGAGACACAGTCAGACTCGTCAGGCCCAGCCTCGGGCACACGCCATCTATCCATGTTTGCAAGAAAGCCCGATGCCCTTCTCTCCACCGCGTAACCGGCACCTACCCAGGAGCTTACCGATAAAGCTCCTCCCTCCCTTCGTCTAGACTCAGGAGACGCCAGAACCTTGGCATGGCGGCAGGGGGGTCTTAGAGGGGACCCCATCCCTCACCTTGCAGAGGAGGACGCTGGTGTTCTGCTTCGAGTTTCCCGCCCACACACCTGAGAGAGGGCACGGCCCAGACGTGGCCGCAGCACTCTGCTCCAGGACGCTGCAGGCGGGCCCTTGCCCTGCACCCTCGGGGGGCTGGGACCGCTCTCCCGGCGTGCTGCGCCCAGTGAAGTCCAGACGCAGGCAGTGCGGTCCGGGCTGTAATAAGCCATTGATCTCGCACAAGCAACTGAACCTCCAGGAACCTCGGCCTCGCCATTGTGAATTAAAGTAACAACCTGCCCAGGGCACCGGGAGAGGGAAGTGAGACAGCACTGAGCACAGCCCGCGTGGGCCTCCACCACCACAGGCGTTCAGTCGGTCCGCCTGCTGCCACCAGCCTGCCACTGAGCTCCTGATGGCTGCAGAGCACTTGGGGGTCCAGGGGCCTTGGGAAGGAGAAGGAGAAAGTGAAGGCCATGGGTGACTATGGCGACTCTGTCTGAGGTCTGCTAAACTCAAGATCATACTGAGGCAGGAGACAGCATAGGAAGAACTCTGAGACGGCAATACTGTCACTGGCCGGCACTTAGCACCCCGGTTGCCAGGAAGCACCTTTTACAAATTAGGTAGAATAAATAGTAAACCGAGGCAGGAAGGAGACAAGTCTCACATGCTAACTCAGCCATCCTAAGCCTGGTCTGATAATATTGCCAGGTGTTCCAACGTTACAAGAAACACTATGTTAGCAAGATAAGGATTCGGGCTAACAGACCCCCAGGAAAGCTGGCGCCACATTTACCCGTTAATCAGTATGTAACTTTTTTCCCTCCTATCCCACCAACTATATCAGTGCTGAGAACAAAGGACTCTCTCTCTCTCTCGGGCTCAGGGGGCTCTTGGCTCTCGGGCCACAGGGCCTCTGGCCACCCGGCCTCAGGCTGCCCAGGGGCTTGCCACCCTGGTCTCCAGCCGCTCTTGCTTTTCTCACCCTGCTTTGCCCTGAAACTTTGCCTTCCACCCCCTATTCTACCCAGTCTTGTTCTCTTCCACGGGAACAGGCCACTAATAAACTGATTACATACTACTAGATTTGCTGATATATAAATCTTTACATGCGTCAGCGAGAAGAACCAGGTCTCTCCCGTCAGCAACACAGGGAGTGAGGTCACAGGCCAGGGCACAACAAAGAGCTCAAAACTTCAAGTGCCTGTTGGCTGTTTTATTATGTGTTTTCTTCAAGCATTTGACCTTCCAGCAAAGGGGGCTCCGGGTCAGGAGGAGGAGCCCAGAAAGTGACAGGCACCGTGCAGCAGGGCCATCCTGAGGGGGCAAGGGGGCAGGGGCAGAATCCCTGGGCAGCAGCGGGCTTGCTGGGGCAGGAAAGGTCTGATCCTCCTGGTGTGGTGACGGCAGACTTGAAGGGAAGGGAGGGAAAGAAAGGAAGAGAGACAGGAGGGAAAAACGATTAACCTTGAGAATTATTCAGGATCAAGTTACAGCCACTGACCCTTTGTCAGCTGCCATGGAGTCAGCAGAGCGAAACCAAAGCTGTGTAAGGAGATGGTCCCCGGCCCGCAGAGATGCCAGAGGCTGTTCTGTGGACCAAGATACATATTTACAGTTTTTTTAAATTATCATAATCCTAAATTTACCCAAAGCACAAAAATAACTCTCTTTTAGATGTTTTCTAAAGGGAGGATTGAAAGGGAAAAAAAAAAAACCCTCATAGTTTATTTTAAGGACCAAAGCCAGCTACTTAAAATGCCGGGGGTTAGTTCCAGAACAACATAACCCGGCTTCCCTAGGAGAAGCGTGGACCCAGCAGCTGGCCCCTCAGTGAGAAAGAAGGGAGATCGGGAGGGGGGGGGGGAGGAGGGAGCGAGCGTGTCCTCATCCCGAACCCTTCTCCCTCCGGGGCACACTGAGTCTGGGATCCCCAGGCGGCTGAGATGAAAAAGCACCTGGTAGGCTCGTGCTTAGTGAACGGTGTCCCTGGGTCCCTGTTCCTGCTCCCAAGTACCAGTCCGTGTGCGTACATCCATGTGCGCACGTGTGGCTTTCCTGGTGCCTCCCCACCCTGGAGAGAGACAAGCACGTGTGTGTGGCGTGTACAGGGTGGGACTGGCAGTGAGGACAGGGACGTGGGGGGCGGGGGCGAGGGGGGCATCTGGGGCAGGAATGGGGAGGCTAGAGTGGAAAGGAGAAAGGCTCGGATTCTTCTAGTTTGGAGCTTGAAGTAAAGCTGACCGCTGATGCCCCTCCAGCGGACCCCAGGCCCCAGCACAGGCGGCAGACTGGCCCACGCTGGCCTGGCAAAGGGAAGCCTCGGTCTAGGAATGCCAATTCAATGTTTTCCCTGCAGACACCTCTGGTGAAAGATTGAACCTCCAGCATGGGCTTGGCTGTAAACTCATCTCCCAGCTGAGTTTCACTTATCTCCCAGAGGTCAAGGCCCTCTCTCTAAGCCGTTTATAATCTTTAGGTACCAGACAGCTGGACATTGGAAGGGCGATAAATTACTAGAGTCCTAGTTTTGATTTGCACCCAATGACCCAGGCAGATATCCTAGAAATAGAAGAGTCATCTAAGTTGTGACTCAGTCTTGGTCTTCAGCTACTAGGGTTGCCTTGAAAGTACTAATAAAAGCCCTGGTTGATGTGGCTTAGTGGATAGAGTGCCAGCTTATGAACCATAAGGGTCACTGGTTCAATTCCCAGGCAGGGCATGTGCCTGGGTTTCAGGCAAGGTAAGGGGTGCATGAGAGTCAACCACATACTGATGTTTCTCTCCTCTTTCTCCCTCCCTTCCCCTCTCTGAAAATAAATAAATAGTAGTAATAAAAGTCTGAGAAATTTCCTGAAGATTCTATTTTTGAAAAAAAAAAAAAACTATTTCTTCATTGGCCTACTCTAATGCTGCAAAGACTTAACTAGACTCTCAAGTTGTCTTTTTTTGTTGTTGCTGTTGCTTTTAGCTAAATTTGTGTTGATTCGTTTTAATAACACAGGCAATTTGTGGTTCACCAGAAAATCCAATTTGTGAAAAATCCAAACATAAATTAGAGTGGTTCCTTATGTGATAGAAGTGTTTTTCATTTCACCAAAATATTCACAGTGTTTACATGTTAGTGTCTACTTATACAT